CTCTCTCTCTCTCTCTCTCTCTCTCTCTCTCTCTCTCTCTCTCTCTCTCTCTCTCTCTCTCTCTCTCTCTCTCTCTCTCTCTCTCTTTTCAAAGTTCAGGATCTTCAAAAAGAAAAATGATGAGATCTTCAGCAAATATTTTTTTCCCCACGTGCAATCGGTAAGCGCGTTATGGAGCGCAGCGCTAATTGGTGCTAGTGACCGCTCCAGACCTGTCGGGTGAATGACCGCGGGACTTCGTCTTCACATCCGCTGGCCCGTCCAGCCCCCTCCAACGCGCACACCCGCTCCCCCTGACTCGCCTTGCCGCTCCCGGCCCGATTCGAACTTTAGAATACGGTCGGCCAGCCGCCATCTCCAACCATCGGCCATAGGTCGCAGGTAGGTCACAGGCAGCTCGCGCACTATGCACGAGCGTACTGCTTCCTCTTCCTCCATTGCAACCGTCCCTACCACTCCCACAGAACAGCCTACGCAGTCGCCATCGCCAACAAACGAAGACTCCACGGAGACCTCGATCGCGCCACACGTGCGCGCGCGGCTGGCAACAACACTGAGGTCGCCCTCGACGTCATTGCAACTCCAGGAGCAGCAGCACCGCAGCCTTAACAGTGAAATAGAAGCTCCACAACTCTGAGCGAAGACCCCCGCTAACTCCCGACCTCCTCCTCGCTTCTCACCCCTCTCCTCTCCCTCTTCCCCTCCCACGACTTCCAAGGCTCCTGCCACCCCAGCACAGACCACGCCACCAATCGTCCACACGTCTGATTCCAACCGCAAGCCCACCCTCTCCCCTCTCTAACCAGCCACCTCACCCACGACCTCGTCTTCGAACTCAGTGTTCCCCAAATATGCCCCATCACTTGATCCTCCATCCTGTCAACATCCCGACTCTCCATCCATCCCCTTCCCCGTCGAGCTCCTTTACCCTTCCTAACTCCCACACAAATTCTACCCTCCCGCCCGGTAGCGTAACTAGCTCCCAATCACCACTTTCTTCCCAGCCATAGAGGCATCAATAGGTAACAAGTCACGCGACATGTAATACACAAAAACCTAGAGTTAAAAGAAGAAAGAAATTAAAAAAGTTAGAAAACCTCTTCTCTCGCCCTTCACTGTCTCCCCATCCCGTCCGCACCCATATCCTCACCCGTTCCTCCCACAGAATCCCGCCATAGCTGTTCCCCCCTCCACCTGGCCCCCAAAAGTCCACTCTCCCTCAACTCTCCTCCGTCGTAATTCTCCCCCAACTGCCCCCCCACCCCCCCACCTCAAACTCACACTTCAAAAACACCACCCTCTATCTATTCCCTCTTCTCCACACATCTACACCGCCCGGAAGTCAATAGATTTCCTGAAAATTAAACAAATCTACCTTTGCAACTGTAACAAACAATCTGACACCAACCATCAACAAATGGAGCAGTGACTGGTAAACAGGTGAAAAAAAAAGAAAAAAGAAAATAAACCCCATCGCCCACAGAGGCCAACTTCACATGCATAGTATCACGTAATCGAAACCCATCTCATGTAGGTTAGCTGGGAACAGTAGAAGCCACGAGTAAAATCACATGTGTAGTATCGATTTTGGAGCCCGGAAATCGCACCCGTCCACATTGATGAGAGAGAGAGAGAGAGAGAGAGAGAGAGAGAGAGAGAGAGAGAGAGAGAGAGAGAGAGAGAGAGAGAGAGAAATAAAAAGGGCAACTCCTTCATCAAGCGACTAACCTCAACTTTGAACCGAAGAAAGCCGCTCAACGGCCACAGGCAGAAGAAACAGCGACCTCAGACAGCCACACATCCCGAAGGAAAACAATCAACAACACCCTACTTCTTATCACAGTCAAACCATGCAACGACCTACTTCTTACCACAGAAGAAGCGGCAAACAAGAGCTCTGCACCAACCACGGCAGTGACATTTCAGCACCGCTTTTCATCCGTCGTACAAACCACCTCAAGTTCAGTGACCAACAATTCACCAAAGACAAACGGTTTCACTGTCGACCACCAAACCCTCAGATTCTTTCTGGAATCACCACAGATCAAGGGCGAAAAGATCATTAGAAAAGTCATCAACAATTGAATCGAAGAAGTAACTGCATGGGGCTACCCCAGAGAAAAATTGGCTGACAACAATGCAATGTACAAAAAACACGCGCTAGTTTTCTCCTTCTCCAACATCGGGGCACGCCTCCCTACAGTAGAGAATAGGAAATGGCTGTCAAGCACAATTCAGGGTCATGAATCCATCAAATCTACAACAGACAAATTCTCTATTCTCCACCTGAACAGGAACATGATGATGGTAGTCTTCTAGGACGCCAACCGGGCATCTCACCTGATTGACAAGCACGACACGCTGAACTGCAATGGATCGGTCTGCTCCCTATCCCGTTGGAAGCCAGAGAGTCCTGAAAGCAGAAATTTCGCCGGCAGCCTCCAACAAACAGAAGCTGATGCGCAAACAATTATAGGTACAATTCGACAAGATACCGATCAGAGGCCACCCCCTTTTTTTTTCTTTTTTTTTTTAACGACGGGCCCAGTGCCCAAGGCTGATATTACCAACATGAAGATTGAGGCCGGGGTCCTCATAGTCTACCCGGAGTGACCGAACTGAACTGGCTGAGAACTGGGCTCAGCGTCCCTGATATGATAATAATGATGATGAACGTCTATTGTTTCTATGTAAAATGTGCCTGATATGATAATAATGATGATGAACGTCTATTGTTTCTATGTAAAATGTGAGATAATCATACTAATGATGACGATGCCTAGTATGTAAAATATCTAGAAGATTATGTTGTATCAGCAATTCTGGCCTCCTAATCCTAGAACAACTCCTAGCCCTCCCTGTACCAGGACATTACATCTCAGAGACAATGCCATCCTAACCAACATCAACCATAGCTGACCTGTTCTCGCCACCTAGACTATTCCCGGACCCATAGGTTGTCAAGGCAGCCACCCCCAGTTCGCCACTGGATTGCCTTCCTCCCTCTGCAAAACCTCAGATCTCTCTACAAGGCCTCCCACTCCTGCAATTCGCAGGTTACAGGGCAACGCCGCAGCTCCGGCCAGCGTTGTTCTGGCATCGGCAAACAAGGGGCACAAAACAAAGCAACTGTGCAGATATCAGTCCAGATTCGACCATCTTGAAATCCTATACCCCGAATGGGGAAGAAGGCCAGATGCTGCCAAGAATTACAGAACACCAGCAAGCTTGATATAAGATGATTGAAAACTATGGAATTTTTTTTTATTTTTTATTTTATCAGCAAAACCTGGCCTCACACTCTATGCTCAACTTTTAGTTTCTCCCCTCTACCAAATGCAACACTCCAAGACAGTATCATCCCCTCCAATACCCACCATAGCTGGCATGTTCTCACTGCTTAGACGAAACCCGACCCCTTAGGTTGCCACAGCAGCACCCCCCGGTTCACCACTCGATTGTCTTCCTTCCTCGACTAATCCCCAGATCTCTCTACCAGGCCTCAAGCTCCTGCTGCCGCAGGTCACAGGGCTATACCCCATCACCGGCCAGCGTCGTTCTGGCGTCGGCAAACCGAGAGCACAAAACACCAACGCTTGGTAAGACATCAGATAGGATTCTATCATCTATAAAAATCCTACATTGGATATGAGAAGAAAACCAGATGTCGCCTCAGAATGTAAGTCGACCATATAAGCATGTTACTCTTGTCCTGGATCTTTAAAGACAGTTGTCTATCTCCCAGGCACAATCGTAGCGTTGTTACTCAGAAGATTGGAAAAGAGGCTCTCCTCCCTCCCCCCTTCTTACCAACCTATTCCAAAGCTGCCTCCACCGAAATGGTTAACCCATCTCGGCCCCAACTTGGGGCAGACCCACAATCCCCTCCCCTATCCCTTCAAGGCATACAGTTCCCTCCCAAAGTATGCCTCTACCCACCCTTTACCCTAATCTGCCCCCGCTGTGATGAGTATCCCCATCCCAACCCCAGACTAGGGCAACCCCTAATTCTGCCCGCACTCCCTCCAGGGCGACACTTCCCACCTTGTGTCGCCCTTGCAGAGTGGAGCTCTCCCTTGCTACCATTATCCCCCAACCATCAGAAAAAACATAGAAGCGCAGAGAGGAGAACTAATGATTATAAATAGAGAAAATATTAAAATACTGAAGTGGAAGAATTGATAGTGGTTGTGAAATTTAGAAGACCAGATTAGATTATGGCATTTGAATTAGGGTAGAATAGCTGATATATAGATACTAGATAAGTTGGAGAAAGTCAATAATCCAATAGTAAGAAAATTAGGTATTCAATAATAACCTCCAAGATAATTAATAGCGAAGATCCAGAGCTTGAGAGTTACGAAGAATCAGGAATATTCAGAACATTAATTAGGAATTATTATAGATATTTAATTCCATTGTTACTTGTGAGAATATTTGTGGT